CTGTGGTTCACCACAACGTGCTCATGATCAGCTGGGCGGTCGGGTGGCAGGGGTGACAGAGAAGAGGCTCGTTTTCCCACAGCCGCGGAGCACACACGCATGCGCTGTGCCTGCACCAGCTGCTGCTTTCGTGTTTCAGACCTTGGCTGGAAGGAAGCCACAGTTTTTTTGCTCAGCCTGGTGACTCCAGCTCTCAGAAGCAGGGCAGGAAAACGCTCCGTACAGGAAATCGAGAGGTGCTTCCCACCCGGCGACCATCCGGGATGCCTCAGAGCTCCCAGCCCAGCTGGTGCTAAGGCATCTTCGCTGCTGCATCTCTGCTGGCGGTGGGAGCAAGAGGGTCTGCCCGCCTGCCCTAGCTGGCACCCAGCTGGGTGAGTCACCAGCGCGAGCAGGGCTGGGACTCCTTGTGTCTCTCTGCCTGAGGCTGCCGGCTGGCTGGGAACGCACGCGTCTCCTTTGGAGCCCGGGCGCTCCAGGACCATGCCCAAAACACCTGGGTTTAGCGTTGTTTAACTCTTTTCCTGCAGTGGGGAAGAACTGGAGGCTTTCTGAGGGACTCCATAGGCCACAGCAGCACAGTCTCCATGAGAGCAGCAACTGCATTTACCAGCAATCTGCCCCGTACTCCCTTCTATGAACATAAAATCTCCAGTTTGGCAAGAACTTCCCCATCAGGAACTTCTCACCTGTTTCCATTTATTTTCTTCCAGATGAGGAGCTTTGCTCAGATCACTCTGAAAAGAAAGCTGAGACTGGTGAACCTAAGGTAGCCTCGTCTTGGGTTGCCATTGGAGGTGCCATGTCTCTGGTCCTGCACAGTATGTTCTCATGGTCCATCTTCACAGAGGTGCCTCTCCCTCTGCTTTTTGGTATGGCTGCTTGCCTGGGTTGTAAAGCTGTTCCTTGCACTGTGACTTGGCTGTGCTTTAAAATACCGCTGCTGTATCATCAGCTGATCTCCAAGGTGTAACCTAAATGGGAGAATTAAGCGAAATCCCAACAAGGCTAATAGACAGCCTGTGCAGCCCTACAACAGGCAGGACGGCAGCAGAAGGCTCCGGTATTTCAGGGTCTCAGCTCTGCTGTGCAAAGCAGCTTATGAACAGCACATCAGAGCCAGAGCGTGGATTAGAGGCAAAACCGGCTCTCACCTCTCAGAAATCTCCACACAGCAGCTCAAAGCGCTCACTCAACAGCTCAGGAAATTCCCTCGTCTCTCAGAGAGCGTTTGGACTCCTAATCCCAGCTTCAGCCTGTTACCAACTCCACGGCTCGTTATTGCAGCTTGAAGGCCTGCCAAGTTTATTACATTGAATTCTGGAGCACAGAGCAACCAAGCATGGACCAACAAATCCTTCGGTTGGGAGAAAGGCCTGTCCAACCTCCCACGCAAGGCAGGGCTCACTGAGCTGAGGTTGTGAGTGGTGATCCAGCACAACTGTACAACCTGGGAGGTGTGGAGTCAGGTTCTCCTTTGCATTTCTCAAACAGGAACTCGTCTGTCATCATTACTTGTGGTTTTGGTGCTACTGTTCAGTGATGCGTGTTTTCAAGATGATACTGGACTATACCAGTGCAAAGTTTTTACCCTGATGATGGAGAAATAGGTGTTAAATGGAAGAGTGAGGTGGGGGAAATGTGGGTTTGCTGCTGAGTGGGGCGGCAAAGGACATGGAAAACAGGTGAGGTACTGCATGCCTTCCTCAACTCAGTCTTTAAATCTCAGAAATCTCAGGCCCCAGAGACGAGGGGTAAAGTCTGCAGAAAGGAACACTTTTCCTTGGAGATATCCAAAAGCCATCTGGAAGAAACAAAGTGTCATAGGAAGGCAAAGCACTCTGGTGGAAGCCCATCAAAGCCTGTCTTCAAAAAGAACATGCTTGAAGAGAGCTCATCGTTCCACTGCAGATCTACATCTCCAAAAAGGGCAGATCTACTTATCTCGTATCCCATCGGTGGCAGAAATATCTCCCTTCCCAAGGGAGGGGAGATATTGGAGTAGATAGCACTAATGATACCAATTTCAGTTGAAAGAGGCAGGCTCAAGGGAGAAAATGTTCAGCTCTACGCCTCATCTGGAACAAGGATCCACACCCATGTCGTCACCTGAGGACTCTTTGGTTAGAAGAAATGTTATTCATTGGGCAGCAGTCCAAATGAATATGTCATTTAGGAATGCTTTGTGCCCTCACGATATGTCTCCCCCTGCCCCTAAAGGACCCTGGATTTCCAAACTACTAAGGCAATTATGGTTTATTTCAGGACATGAATCATCTTGCTACAAGGCTACCTGATCTTGTCCTCTCAGGAACAATAACTCTTCCAAACAGAGAAAAAGCTTTCACAAAAAGCAGCCTATTGCACCCACCTGCATGCTTAGCCTGTAAATTCTTATGTCCCCCAAATCTGCTCTTTCTGCACTGCTCAACTCAGACATCTTGACGCACATGTCCTTGTGGCAATTGATTCTTCTCCACTGACTCGACTACATCTGCATTAGCCGGGTCCTTGAAGCGCGAGAGACCAGGTCGTGGCACGTGTTGAGAAGCAGTGGCCAATTGCATTTGCCTCCTCCCATATGAAGACCTGTGCCGGATTCTCTACTGTCTGCTGGCTCCAGTGGCCATGTCCCAGTGACATGAGGATCTACATGGAGAAATCCCAGGATTTGCTCAGAAGATTTCTGTTGACAGATTCTACCAACCCCTGCTGCCATCACTCATCATTCTGCTGTTTGGCTGGTATGTAAAATCTTTCCTGGAAGAAAATACATCCGATGCAAGCCTTTGGTGGAAGAGCAGTTAATGAGAAAGAATTGCTGCTAGATAGATGTCTCAAGGTAGTTATATGTTAGGAGATCAACAAAATGTAAAAAGCTGTGATTGCACTTGATGCAGGGC